GATTCTATATACCGAACAAACTTATTATTATTAATTGTAGCTTTATTCAATATTATATTTCTGATACAATATAGAATAGAACAAAGTATTTCAGCGAGTTTCCGTCTCTTATTTCTTGATCGATATTGAGTGATCACCAGTTAGATGTTAGCAATTCATGAATCAACCTCTGAATAATGTTCATTCTTTTCAATACATATTGACAGTTATGTCAATGTCTCCGATTGTACATTTTTATAACTTGTACAGCGAAAGGTTGTACCTAATAGATTATACAATTAATTGACATAATGATGTGTAACATTCATTTAAGCCTTTATTATTCTTATCAAAACTAGTACACTTGTCATCACATCATCATCAACTTGTACTTTTCACTTATTATGTAATCGTTTTCATTGTTATCATTGATTCATAAACTACCTTAACACTGTATACATTTTTTATCATTTTGTAAATCAAATGATTGATTTAATTAGTATATTGTCATTGATAACCAGTATCCGAATTGTTTCTGATGAATAAATCGATTTGGCACAAGTCAATGTAATTAATTGTAGAATATTCCATTAGTAACATTATTTAATGCATACTATTTGATTCATTTATGGCAGATGATTTTGAGTCTATTGAAAATAGTTACTAAGTGATTTTATATTGATAATTTACTGAATTGATGTGAAATATAACACATCAATAATACATGTTACTTCACGTGAATCTGTCAGAGCAACTGAAAATTTAATGAGCTAATTGAATCTACCATCAATAAATGAAGTCAGAAAATTTACAAAAATATTGTATTTTGATCAATTTATGTTATTGGTAAATTATGTAATGAATACTTGTAGTCCATATGAAGTCATGATGTAAAACACAGACTCCATTGATATTGACTCCAAAAAAAAGGGAATAGTGAATTCAACTTACTTGACAGTATTTTAGTGACGTAGAATTAGCGTTATCTTTATAAGAATAGTTTTGATTACTGTTAAAATGAAGCTTTTAGAGGCCCGTTGATCTGACTCCATGTAGATCGTAATGATGATTGTTGTTGAAATATATATGTCACCTATCCTTGTTTGTTACAAAACCGTACCAAGGCATGACAAAAATACCAATACATATGATTAGTGATGCCGAGGTATCAGACTGACTTGGATGTGACGAACAAGAGTGTATCTTTGAGAGACTAGCTCTAAACTCTATGTTCTGATATACAGTGCGATTGGTATAGAATAGTAGTTGCAGTACTCGAATAATGTTTTTGGGTAATTAATGATGCGGCATATGGTGATACATGTGGACGAGGAGATAAGGTGAACGTAATGGTTTCTAATCAGCTAGTTAGAGGCATACACGGACATAATAGGAGGCGATTTCGAAATGAAAAATGTATGTTGTGATAACATAAATTGCTGACCTCGACTAAGTGAATGAATGTAATATTAGATCAAAATGACATGGAAAAATTGGAACGAACTCACTTAAAGCAGGAAAATTTCACGTTTTTGAATAGTAAAATATCCCAATGAGTTCTCACAAAGTGGAGTGGAATTTTCATAAAATGATAATTTGTTCGGTGAGTGATATGATTACGAAAATGTCATAATTTAATGATAGCACGAACAAGATTAATAATTCCACATTCGGTCATGATATTGATAATAATGTAATAATAAGCATATAATGATAATTTGAATCGTAATTGAACAAACCGACGAATGGATCAATGAGAATGGTTGACATGAGTACAAAGTATCGATAAGATAATACGACTTGGGCATGTCCATACCATAATGCACAGGCTTCGTTGATTGCGTCGGATTGGATGTTGCGCTGGCTTCGCTGAATTTGTTCGTCGAACGTATAGAGTGCAGAAGTTCCTTCATCCACGTAGCTTGCTGCGTTGCGTTCGTCGTCGGCGGGCTTACCAATTTTAGCTGGCCGTAGATCTGACTCCATATCAGAAGGCTGCGTGTTCGGATCACGTCGGGCTAACCATTTTTGTGGCCCGTGGATCTGACTCCTATTTAGATCGTATGGATGTTTTCTATCGCCCATTCTCGTATATCATCGTCGACTTAAATCGCGTTAGTCAATAACGGAATTAAATAAGTCATATAATGAGAATCGACCTGTGCATACATATATTTCGTACATGAAGCGAATGAAAGAGAGCAGAGCAAAATGACACACAGGGAGTTGGCTTCCCAGCCATCCTCCCAACGCGTCATTTTGCTCTGTTCTATTGCATTCACTTTACATACAAAATATATGTATTCAAAAGCCATTCTCGTTAATTGACTTATCTAAATTCCGTTACTGACTAACGTGATTTAAGTCGACGATGATATACGAGAAAAGGCGATAACAATCATTCGTACGCTCTAAATGGAGTCAGATCAACGGGCTGAATACGAAAAGAATAGATAAATGTAAAGCTACAGTGACCACTTTCTGTATTATGTTTTGTATATTAGACGCTAAGATTATAGTAGCCTTATATTCTTCTGTAGTGAACAAGAACACCAATGGGGAACAATCGTATGTATTTAACACAAAATTACAGGACTTGTTAATAAAATTTAACAATCATCAAGTAAATGCTTAATTTGCAAAATGTTCATCAATTGTCTCAAAATGACTCAGACTTCATTGTTCTTGCATTTTCATACAAAGTGCCATTCTGTTTCCATTCTTTATTGTTCGATCCTCTTGGATCTCTGCTGCCAGACCTCCTGTTTCCGACTAACATCACATACTACTTATGTAAATATAAGTAGCACACACCACACTTCGAATTGTAAGCCTACAAAAACTATTGTTATACTTTTTACCTTCACTAAGTTATTAATAGTTAGTTAGTTATATAACAGTTACTCAGTTCTCTTTGACTTATGGTACAGTCCTGGTTACAATGTGCATTTTTAATTATGATTGTGTGTGGTCAGGAAATTACTGTTCATTATTGTACCAGTTCAGTCATTAGAGACAAGTATATCATACAGATCTTATCCGCTTGCTAATTTCTTTTTGTGATTGAATACTTAGTTGAAAGTAGTCCGATGATCGATAGGTGGTGAAATCCCGGTCATTGTTTATTGGTCAATGAGTCATCAGTAGAATAGAAGGTCATCAGTTCTACAGTGAAAGGGTGAATTAATCAATCAATAATCGGAATAGATAATTAAAACTTTCTATCACCTTACTCATATGGATTACAATACAATTCAAGAACCTGTTCCTTCTAAAAGATCTTAAATTGCATTTGAGATTGTTATATATATTCAGACTAACAATGACTTGTGTTAGTTTTAAGAAGAATGATTAATTACTAAAACTTCTACGAAAATGTAGTTGAAAAATAATCTGAATAGCTTTTCTAGTTGAGTATATAAAACCGGTGACTCACCGTTAGTACATTTGACGGTATGAGAACTACACATTTTGAATGTCCCAGTTACTTACGAAATCCTCATTTCTTCTCATATGAAAATAAAACACTAGTTCAACAACGAATATTGTTCAAAGATTTTGATTAGATTTAATTTTGTAGGATAGGCTTTTTCAGTTCTTCTCTATAGGTATTCAGAATACGGTGTTTAAAACATTGATGAACCTATTAGTATGTTTATCTGTGGGATATGTTGTTTACATAACTCGGTAAACACTGAAATATGACCGTGTTCTACACCCTGTGAAACAAAAAAATGTTCTTATAGTAACATGTTCTTAATAATGTAAATGCAAGAAATGTTATTTGTAGAAGTTTCTCTGTTATTACACTCATAGGCGTTTTATTCCAACAAATTGACAGATAAATTATCCAGATATTTCCGGTCATTCTTTCACTTATACGTGTGTATGTGATGGTATTTATCTTTGTATTTATACCTCTTTTTCGTTTGTACATAATGAATCACCCATCATTCACTGAGTTGAATTTTCGCGTTGATATTAAAGGGATTTAACTACAATATATACTTGAAGTCGAATAGGACAGATATCTCATTAACGTTATCTTTTGTTTATTATAGAGTTAAACATTGACAAGGGATATTGGTACGGACAGATCGTGAAGTGAAGAAAGTTTCATCAACAGAATTCTGAGTAGAACAATTGTGTTATGATATGTATTCCAAATAAAATGATTCCCTTAAAATGGATATAAGAATACAGTGAGATCTATGGAGACACTAAGTATGATGAAAGGTTATGGTGACCATTGTATTTTCATGTTGACTGACTGTCAAATACACTCATTTCTCACGATTCACAATCACGTCTCCCCTCACTGAATAAAATGAAAACAAATTCACATTCTAATGAATGAGTTGACGTCGAGAACATCACATAAAATGAAGAAGGAGATAAAGACGTTGATATGTTCCTGACAATAGAGACGGATAAATGACTAGTGTTTTGAGAGTTATAAGAATAATGTGAATGAAACTTTGTGAAATACACATTTCATAACTATAGTTTAAGTGTTTCTCTGAAAGATCGTTTGATTTGGAAATAGGATTGTTGATCTGTGAAATAATACATCAGTCAGATATTGTAGTTGATTTCATCTCTATGTACTGTTTACATTCATATGTTTTATGTGTTATTGTATGAGTGTAAATGTTTGTGATTACGGTTTTCCAGTGTATCAAACTTCAGTTCAATCCTAAATCTCATGAAATGAAATGATTGGACTTGGAAACATTTCTAACCAAACTGAAAGAATCAAAATCATCTTTATCAAGTTATTGTTCCGTTATCATGAATTTGATCAGGTCAACTGTTCCACTTAGCAACATTTCTTCATAAAGAATATTAAGTCGACATATTAGAATTCAAGATTAGATCAAATGAATGTTTGAAGGTTATTGATTTAGTCTACTTTGAATGTGTAATTTTAGAAGTGAAATGGTTGCATGTAAACATTTTACGTGATTGGTTAACTGGCATAATTTAATATAATATATAAACAAACTATAATAGTTGAGTATAAATGTAAAACTAAGACAATTATTTATGTTTTTCTACGTATTTTATTGAAACTATGCAAAAAATTATCCTCCTATTATTGATTTGTTTCTTTCTTTACATTGAAAGAATCTATGCTTCTGTTCGTACTATACATCATTATTTTCCCAAAGTAATACTTATTTCTCTCGATGGATTTCGTTATGATTACTTTGATATGGCTGAGGAAAGAAGTGTAAACATGTCAGCATTTAAAAAGATTAAAAATCGAGGAGTTTACGTAAAACGTATACAAAATGAATTCCCTACTTTAACATTCCCATCACATTTTTCAATGGTAACAGGCATGCACCCTGAAAGTCATGGAATAGTAGATAATGTGTTTTATGATCCAACTAATAATGCAACATTTTCATCAAGAAATCAGTCTACAGCATCGGATTCTAGATTCTATGATGTTGGAGCTGAACCGATTTGGGTAACGAACCAGTTTCATGGTCATAAAAGTGGAGTGACTTTCTGGATTGGAAGTGAGGCGAAAATCAAAGGTCAGAGACCAACTCATTATCTAGCACCCTACAATGAAAACATTACATTCAATCAGCGAATTGATATTTTGATGGGTTGGTTTGAACATGAAAATATTAACCTCGGTCTTATGTATTATCATCAACCTGATAGAGCAGGACATATTTATGGAGCGGCAAGTGACGAGGTTTTCAAAGCTATTGAGGAGATAAACCATGGACTAGATTATCTCTTGACATCGATGGAAACGCGACCATCACTTAGTTGCTGCCTCAATCTCATTTTATCAAGTGATCATGGAATGACGAACGTCAGTTCAGACAGAGTTATATATCTTCATGATTACATACACCCGAATGAGTATACATCTGCTCCTAAGAAGTCAGCGGAAATCTGGACTCTTTGGCCAAGACAAGGTAAGTCTTACCACTAACGTTTTTCAAAGTCTAGGACATACTGCGCTATCATTATATAACAAATTGAAAGACCGACACCTCAGATTAAATGTTTATTTGAAGGAGGAACTACCAACACGTTTATTTTATGATTCGAGTGATCGAGTTGGTCCTGTTGTTGTATATGCAGACATTGGATGGACGATTATCGCTGACAGAAATTCTGGGGTAACATTGAGTAAGTGAACATTTATAAATAGTTTGCAACGGAATCAAGGGATATAATATAAGAGGAATAAGACAAAGAGTAGCTTTGGTTAAAAACACAGTCAAAAATAGAGTATATTTATAAGTAGAGGAAGTAGTCATGCAGTGTAAAGGATGTCCGCCTATAACTACTGATGATCATAATTAATGTTTTACAAAGTTTCATTGATTATAAGGTGGTAGTTAGTGAGTATTTTAAAGTTTATTTTGCTACAATCTAGACTAAATGATAGCCAGTTACAAAAATCTAATTCTTGAATAGATCTATCCTGCAAAACTGTGTTAAATTTCACCAAGTTCTAAAAGTATGACAAGATGGTTCGTAAAATTCATAAAGTTTGTATTCATTTCATTGATTTTGGCCTTTGTAAAACTATCGATACTACTGAAGAAAAAGTCAGTCAGTCAATAACAACGTAGAAATTATACAAGTTGTCACACCACATTTGCACAGAGGTGCAGTTGTCGATTTAAATCCCGTAATCGTAGAGGCAGTAAGAGTATGAGGAGTAATTAGAAAAATTATGTTTTGAAGATGTTATTCAAGGAGTATAATCCAGTGAAATAAATTTGGAAAGAGAGAAAAAGGGACATGAAAAACTCAGAAGATTTGAATTTGGGAGAACACAAAGAGTGGATTCACCTGCGCCATTGTAAACGATTTTGAGCCATGTCATTCAAGGTCTGTAACCAACGGTTGCTATCGTCTCGCAGACCCCAACCACGTAGTCTACACCTACCAACATGACTCAGTCCACTTGTCAATAACTTCATGGATTTATGCCATGACTAAAGAAAAATAAAATATTGTAATGTGAAGTCAAAATTGAGACAGATTTTCAGACAAAAATTCATTGAAACGAATTGTTTTAAGCTATGAATAGGGAATTAATACACGGTATTACGTCTTTCTGTATACAATTTACGTTTTCTTTATTTTTAATATCATGAAGATAAAAGCACAGGTACATTGAAGTCATCACCTTTCTATTATGTTTTGGAAACGTATCTTGATTTGCAATTCAAAACTAGATACTTCATTTTTATACTGAACTTCTCATTACACTGAAATATTAGAATTCCCTTTCCATTTGATCACTTCATAATAAACTATAATTGTGATTTGATTGATCCCAATAAAAACACCAATATATGAACGAAGAACATTGTTTACAGTAATTTCTCACCAGGTTTTATAATCATATATCCAAATTAATAATCAAAAAGTGAGTATGTTTAAAGCAAAGTACATTGTTTGAAACTATAGCAGATGTGAATTTATCTGGATAAATAGTAGATTTTGATAGTTGAATTAATGAATCGATCTAAACTGGGCCACCATTGGAAACCTGGAAGCACTGGACGGCCGTTTCGTACTAGTGTGATATTCCTGAGTGGTGCGTATCCATGGTCGTACACGCGGGACTCGAATTCACGACCCTTAATTTCACGCGTGAACGTATGATCTCTAGACCACCGAGCTGGGCATTCAAGAGTGTTAATTGTTATAACTTGTGGCCTTGTGCCGTATAACGTGCCGTATATAACGTGATGATATCGTCAATTAGAGAACTGTGAATTATCGACCGGACCAATGACGCATCAACCCGTACGGCAGTCTACAGTCTTTATCGATCCTTCTCCCTGCCTAGCCCTGCCTGTTAAACCCAGAACATCAATCTCAGCCTCTGAGATATGAACCATGTATTTCAAACATACTGCATCGTAAAATAAAATAGAAAATAACATATGTACAAGATCTAGCCCAAAGTGGCTGTGAATGTGGGAGACTGTAATTAATAAACTGGGTATAACTTAAGAATGGTAAATCGTATAATAATAGTGCATGGGTCAAAATAAAGCGTATAATAAGAGAAACAGGAATATGCATAGTTTAGCTAATTAACAAGTATACAATAAAAATATATGTACAGTATTACTCCAGAAATAGATTCTCATCGGGACAAAATTAATGTCTAACTTCAATCGACCCATGATTTTCCACAACCCTTCATCCATTGTCTGATGTATATAAGTGTATCCAGCCGACACGGATTAGACTCCATCGGTCACGGTTTCTTGTTAGAGCTTAAGGAAATCCACCTTGAAGCTGGCCCCTCGTCAGAACATGATCATTATTAGAATGAGGGTCGACTCATGAATTCAACTATTAAAATTACTACATTCTCGACAAATCCTCGTTCTGACTGAGAATAAAATATTATCGAGACTATAAGACATTATGAATATTCAAATTAATATTTATGTTTATCCGAGAACAAAACTATTTGATATTCGTCAGTTGAAGCTTTTTACATTTCTGGAATTTTGAATTGGTGTAAGTAAATTGAATATCCGCTGTTGTTTCATAAATCACTATGTAACAGAAATCGCATGTGTAAAGATGGTATAATTCGGATTTATACAACCGACAATAAATCAGAAAAGTCCTATAACTTCATATGGTGTTTGAATGAATTAATGATTCCTTTGTACTTGTTGAATACTTGATTTCGAATTCTCAATACAGTACATTCGTTTGTGCCTATCTAGTACTTATTGATCCGAATACGTTATTTCTAGGATTCTTAGTTCATACTATAATTCAAATACTCCTAATCATCATACTTCATTCACTTATTCTGTGCAATTTTGTTCCGTTTATAATCTTAACAATCCCCAGATATTAAATAAAGGTCATATGACTTCTTCAGATCTTGGTGTTTATGGATATTATATATTTAACTGTAAGAACATTCGTTCACCATGTTAAACTAAAATGTAACAGATTTTTAAGTAAAATAAATGAATTTGAATAGTTTTGAATTACAAACGATAGGTTTTAAACACAGTCATATATTAAATTCACTTGACGTTGTTTTACTTGTATCTTCCCATTGTTATTTCTGACTGCAATTGATCAGTCGCTTGTTAACATATGTACATCGTGTGCGATATAGCCTTAAATCACAAGCTTTGTTAGCAAAACTGATGAGTCACAAATAGGACGAAACGCGCGTCCTGGATTCCACTACTGACCACTATACATCTTTGCAGTCCTAAATAATAATGTGATACAAGTAAAATAACACCAAGTGAATTTAAACTTCATCCCATTGCACAAGCAAATGGCTCTCAGGACTCAGTAGCTGAGTGGATAGCGCGATGATGTTTGAAGTGAACGGTACTGTGTTCGAGTCCCAGAGTGAACATCAACTCTGAGACACAGGTACATCCAGCTGAAGAGTCCCAAGTAGGATGGAACGCGCATCCTGGATCTCACTGTTATCCACCATCCATCATAGTAATATGTCATTCTAGCTGCAAGTTAGAGCTTTGTTTGACTTCATAATCTCAAAGATATGCAGAAGTATTAAAGTATTTATCTTTTTACAGTGGTACCGAAATATATCTTGTTTTTTAAACTCTAAAGTTATATTAAATTTCACATTGAGATATTAAACTTGTGCAATAAATCTCATTATTTTCAATTGTCTGTTGATAGAAAATAAAGGTTCTCATGGTTATGATCCAGATTACAAAGATATGTCTCCATTTCTAATGGCAACGGGACCTCATATATCTATAAATCAAACAACAGAATTAGAAGAAACAGTCAGACTGATTGATATTTACTCACTGATTTGTCTTATACTTAAGTTGAAACCTGCTCCTAATAATGGCAGTGTTTGTCGAATTGCCCGATTGGTAATTCATGTAAGTTTCTTTTCCAGATCATACAGTTATTGTATCATCATATTCATACCATTCTACACAATTCCTTATGATACATTATGATGTTATCGAAGCATAGAACACGAACTTAATTATGAATGATAATAGAAATCTATCATCCGAATAAACAAATTAAAGTCAATTTTACTAAATAAATTCATCTCTCAAACGATATAATTTACTAATCTATATGCAATCGTTTTTATGGTTTAGTTTATAGTAAAATAAATACTAAATGATTTCAATAGTTGAAATCATGAGTCGATTGAAACTAGACCATCATGGAAAACCTGGAAGCACTGGATGACCGTTTCGTTCTAGTATGGGACTCCTCAACAGTGCGCATCCACGACCTCGCCTCGCAGGATTTGAACTAAATGAGTTATCAATAAAGTCAAAAATACTTTCATTAAAAATCTAGTGTTGAGTAAATGGTAACAAGAATGAAAATAAAATATTAAAAAAACAGATGTATCAGATAATTGTCTATTCAAAGAATAGTTATTATATAATGAAGTGAATAGTACAAGTTGGAAAGATTTTCGAGAATAAAAAAAGAGGTTGTTTTGAGACCATGATAAGATTAGTAAATAACTAAACATACCATCTATGAACATAAAGATCAAGTTTGTATTGATTAATTATCAAAAACTCCTCAAAATGAATTACAAATTAAGTGACAATGTATCTTGAATCCACTAAACTCACTAAGTTACTATCAATCAATTTGTTGATTATTCTAATTCTCTATTCAGTATAAAAAGAGTCTCTGTTGTGAATTATGAATTCATATTATAATTATTATCATGTATTTTGTCGGCCATACCAAATTGATATAAGATGGTTACAAAAAATAGTAATTTCTATAGCCTTATAATGTTATAGCTTCATTAGTCGATCACCTTCGTAATCTCTATTATATAAGTCTCATGGTGTGTGAAGTCAGAAAGTATGTAAGGAGTTATTACAGTTTATTTGCGGATAGCATGGATAACAAAGCCATAAACACATCAAGTGAATTTGAAGCAGTGAATTGAACGTGTATATGTGTGAGAGAATACAGAGGTAAATTTTATAATCAAATTGCATAAGAGCACAACAAGTCAAAGCAAAGACTAATAATAAGATTTGCGTACATATATATACATGAGGAAGAGAATGAATCACTGGGTGGTAATATTTAAGCGATCAATATTTTGGCTAGAGTCTGTCATGTGATCAAGGGTACACGTTTAATTAGATATGGTAGTGTTTATAAAATAGTACAGAGAAATATGCGAATTGTTATTATTCAATTAACATTGTCTGTTAATTAAGTTAATAAAAATGGTTTATCAGTATGGGGGTTGTGGTCTAACATCAATTAATTCATGATCTCAACCAAAAATAAACTTAACAATCTCCACAACCCTTATACAAATAACTAACATGTGCTCACTAGTGACTAGCTTCGTGAGGGAATTCTCGGAGTTCTAGTGAGAAGTCGTGACCAGTGGAGCTAATCCGTATCGGGTAGAGACAGCTATCTACCTCAGTACAATGGAAGGTGGTCGCGCAATTTCGTGGATTGGTTGATGTTAGACACTAACACTATTGGATGCCGGCTCAGTGGTCTAATGGTTAAGTGCTCAGGCGCGAAGCCAGAAGGTCATGGGTTCGAACCCCGTGGCGTGCGGGATCGTGGATGCGCACTGCTGAGGAGTCCCATACTAGGACGAAACGGCAGTCCAGTGCTTCCAGGTTTCCAACGGTGGTCCAACATCAATTAATTCATGATCTCAACCAAAAATAAATGGTTTAACCAAAATTAACCATAATAGTAATTGATTGCAGGATAGTTGCTATAGCCTATACATGAATAACAATAACATTTATTTTCTATATGTTATCACATGAAATGACTAGTTATATGTAGGTTTACGTAATTTCAAATCAATTGCGAGTGGTTTGTATAGTTACAAAGCATCACTTGGATTGTTTATTCATCAACGCGATTGTTTTGTTTGTTTGTTTTTTGCAAATCGTAAATGACAATTCAACTTCATTGAATTGACTTTCATTCAACTCTCATATCAACATCTTTTCTAATTGTATTCTAGAAAAGTATTGCCAATGTCAACAGATCACCTACTATATTCATTATCAAATTTGTTATGCTAACTATTTTCATGTCATACAATGGATTATATAATTGAAATCATATACATTTCTGTTGAATGAATCGTTGATGTTCTAATAAGGAAACTTGTTTACTTGTTTGTTTAACTAAGATGCAACTAATTACATAATTGTCATGTGTTAGTAAAACAAACAATTGGATTGTTAACTAATACTCAGATTGTATAATTTTTCTTATTCTTGATAAGTGATTGGTTTGTTCTGTTTGCAGTGTTTATTCTTCCTGACATTTTAATGTATGCATTCTTATATGAAATGGTGTAAAACATAATCAATATTTTGATGATTGTATTAATCTGTAATGTGGTTGTACATTGTTATTCTGTAAAATGTGATAACATCCCTATGATACATGTACTTGCTTACTACTTATAGGCTTAATTAAGTAGTAAGTATATCTTAATGCACCTATTCATCTTTAATCCACCATCATAGTTACAAATGTGTCAGTAATAACTTTGACTTTACAATATTAAACAGATTGTAAACCTCTGATGAGAATCTAATGAAATAAAATGAATCCATTCATTATTTTGCACTGATCTTTGTTTTTTTCTCTGTTTAAGATGAAAGGGGTACAATTGTTGTCAATTAATTTATCTCACTGATTGAAATCATGAGTCAGTTGAAGCTAGACCACCAGTAGTGCACATCCACGATCCCGAGTTCTCTACTAGGATGAAAAGGCCATCCAGTGCTTCCAGGTTTTCCATGGTGATCTAGCTTCAATTGACTCATGATTTCAATCAGTGAATTTTCTAAAATCTCCACAAAACCCATTCTGATAATTAATTCATCATCAGGCTTTACAGTTTCATATCCATATTTACAAAGGTCAAAATAAAACATACATTAGATAATGTCATTTGTTAAAAATGGTGAAATTTTACATCCGCTACGGCATGAATTATTCAAAGTTGTATCATTTGTAAATGAGGGAGGTCATTTATGATGAAGGGTAAAATGATTCATTTTAAAGTTTCAAGTTTTCATTGATATAATTTGAATAAAGTAAATCATGCGAATAAAATGCATAGTAGGATGTTATGACTTTATGTTCGGCTAGTGATTTATCCATCAATCAAGATACAATTTTAGCACTGTGCCAAATCAATGACATCCGACCGGTGTTAGCAACATAGTGTCCTTATTGGTCTTATGTCCTCCTAGCCCGTCAACTTGAGTCCAGAACACCAATACCAGCTTCCAATATGCGAATCGAATCGAATCATTTATTTCAAACATACTGGGTTTATATATCAACCAAACATAGCACAACGCACCATAAAATAGGAAATAACATTTGTACAATATTTGGCCAAATGTGGCTGTGAACGTGGGAGACAGTAGTCAATAAACTGAACATAGTTTACGAACACTAAATCGTACAATAATAATTGATATGTCAAAATGAAGCTTATAATAAGCGGAATATAAATATACATAATCTAGTTATTGAATAGTTATACCATGAGAATGTATAGATAATATTAGTCGATTAATGACTCAGAAGTTACTCGTGATTAAATCTTCACTCTGATACAACATAGGAAAATTTTGTCTCGTTCATGGTTTGGTTTGAGTGTAGTATGGACCGGTGAAAGACAGGCTGAGTGAACTAGCTTATTACTGTCGATAAATATATGACACAGTAACCTTTCGTGATAAAGGTATCAACAACAAAGAGCTGGAAACAGTCTCAATAATATTCAGTCAGATATTACATTCGTAAGGTAAAAGGAAAATGATAACTATGTATTGTGCCTTGATGTTCTGCTTTCTAGAAAGATAAAACTTACCTACTTAAATCAGTTACCATTCGTGAAGCAGCATAGGCCTCGCGCAAACATCCTCCATCGATCTTTGTCCTGAGAAATCCTTTCCAGTTTTTTCCAGTTGCTATTCATCATCCAATCCTCAGTGCAGTATGTTTATTGGCCCTCCTTGTTTCAGTTACTCTTCAGGATTCCAAGTTAGTAGAACCACAAAAGGTTACACAAAGAGAAATTTATTTAGAGAGAATACATGGGCCGGTCGGTATATCCATTTTGATAGCTTTACAACTCTTCAGTGCAAAATAAATTTGGTTAAATGTCTCAACCACAAAATAAGGCTATAATGTTCTGAGGGTAGTGTAGATGATGAAATAGACAAACTGAAGAATACAGTACGGAATAACGGTTATCCAAGTAATTTCCTCAAAAAATATCTATCAGGACTAAAAAATAGACCAAACACAGACACAGTCAGTAGGAAAACTTTATCTAAGACTCGATTTTAATGGGGGGGATATTAAACGCCGTCAAGTTGAATGTATACTTCTCAACCAAAACAGTCCTTGCACAACGAATGAAGGATATGTTACCATACCGTTGATGGACCGTTCCATGTGTGTATACCAATTCAACTGCTCCTCTGGAGCTGATTACACTCAGAGGGCCTTGTCCTTGCCTGTTTGTGAACACGTACCGGGACTGTTGGGAAAAGGATCTACGAAATTTATTAACGGTACCATCATTTCTCGCTTAGTAGATGGTGACTATCATATCAAAACAGATGAATCTGTGACTGTCTTACATCGCATTCCAATCAATCTACGGCTCCTCTACATAACTGAAGCCATCTGGATCAGCTCAATAAAATCTAACTAATGTATCTAAAAGGAAAAGACGTATGTTCAACTACTGTGTATAACTTAATCCATGACTAAATAACCCTTGTCTGTTTTGATGCAAACTGTATTATTAGCATGTTTTCATTCGAATCCTTCAATTATCGATGTATATTTTCTCACTAAATATTTG